TATACAGAAGAAAAAAAAGATTCATAACACCAGTGCAAAGTACAAGATCTGAGAACAAGTCACAGCAACCTTCCAGAGCAGGAACCAGTTACGACCATAATTGCTGAATCAAAAGAGCAGGCACTAAGCACCAAATCCACTGAAGCAAAGATCTACATTCATGAAGCAGATTATAAAACCCACCAGAAACGGTTCAACATAGGTTATAAAATTGAAGCAAGAATAATTGCACTGAAAGGTACAAGTAAGTAGTTAGCATCACCTACACACACACACACTCAATATTTGGTTTAGATCCTTCTAAAAGCAGAAAGGAGATTCCTCAGAAAATTGTGAACAATAAGATGAAGAATCTGAAACTTTCTCCCATACCTCTGGTAGAGGACTCGAGGTTGAGAATGATCATCACCACCCACAGGGATTAAGAGATTTTTTTAAAATGCATTTTAAATATATGAAATGAGTATATATGGACATGGTACATATGTGTTAGGCAAGACCAGAAGATAGAGCGTCTGGAACCTTCTAATCGTTCACCATTTCACCATTTTTTCTAACAGCTCCCATTATGGGTTCCATTCACAAGACTTAAGGTTCAAGTAACGAAATATATGTCAAATTCTGTGGTGTATGACGAAGAATGTCCCTAATTAGCAGACGAGACGCTGCGTGATGGTACAATGCAGGTGGTTCAGCAAAGATGAACGATCATAAGATTTTAACCGAACTCATAAAAAGTACCTTAGATTCATGCGCAGTGCGGTCAGAGGCAAATAGTTCCTTAATATCCGTTTTCAGCTTATAATGACTAGAATGAAATCTTTATAATCAGCTGGGGAGAAAATTGACGAGTACAATGCGTTGGCGATATCACCAAGATTTAATAGATATTGCTTTGATATTGCTTTAATAGCGATTTAAAATTTAAACCGATTATTACCGATTACCGATCATTAAAATTGTAAAATAAGAATAAATCAAATATGAAATCACCAATGCAATATCAAAGCTATGAAAAGTGTCTTCGTCAACATTTTTAAAGTATTTTTTCAACCATCGCGCATTTATTTTAAACATTTTACTTTACAAACGATTCTCTTTTACCACAAAAGAATATTTCATTTTTTTAAAATATTCGTTAATAAATGGTATATTTATGAAGAATCTAAGTAAAAATGAGAAAAAGCAAATCAAAGAAATCAAAAGAAAATCAAAACAAACTAAGGTGATAACTCGAATCACACACGAAGTTATTTTATATCAAATATATCATCCGGATAATATTTACGAATTAAAGCATTCATTCCTCTTTCAACTGCAATATCTATTGGCTTAACAATGAACGGAATAGATCCAAGTCCGATTGCAGTAGTCGTCCATTTCTGTCTCTGCAGTGACCAACGTGTCGCCCTGCGATCGAAATTATAATAATCATAAAGTATTCCACCATAAATCATTTATCATCAATATCATGAAAAGTGCCTATTATGAAACAGAACCTATTATGGCGAAAAAATCCACAACTCATGGACGGCCAGCCACAATACGTTTGCGATACCTCTTTTTTCCCGGTGAAAGCATTTCGGATGGGCGAGGATTACAAACCGAGATTATACAAGTAGAAATTTAAAGCAACTAAGATAGAGATAGATATAAGTGCATTATGGATATCATATCATATATCTTGAAAAAAGGTGAAAAATGGGAAAAAACCATTCCTCCGACCATACCAAGTACTATATAACGGTTGCCACTGTTACCATTTGGGGACTGTATAATCAATGGGAACGTGAGGAATGAAATGAAATTTATTACAGCATATTTTTCGAAGGCATTTAAAGGTATTCAATGGCGCAATTCGAAATGTTTTTTCGAGAATTTTTAAGTTTCCTAACCTTATCACTATTTGCATACATTTACCACACCATCTTAAATGTACCAATCTGTTAATAGTCATATGGTGTTGGCGTTATATATAGTGTAATCTGTTATTTATAAATAAAGGTGTAGTTACCAAGTTCGAAGTCCTCTAAACTAATTAGTCTCCAGCAACTCGCAACGAAATATTTAGAAAGGAACGCCTGGTTGCAGTCTTTGAATAAATAAAGGAAATAAATTCGAGTGGCAGGCACAGTACTTGCTGAAAAATTTTCTATCGGAAATTTGCGAGCTCCCTTTCATTCTCTTTCATACAGCTAGTATTCAGTGAGACATTGGAAGGTTAAATTTCATTTAAATATTGGATAGCCCGATATTTTTAAATTTGAATAAATAATCTTCTTCTAAAGTTTTAATATAATACCTCGATATGTAACTAAATAATAATGATATACTTACATTTTCAATATTTTAAAAGAGAGGGCACAAATTCGATTAATTGTGAACCCCGGAACAATGACAGAGGCTAATGCTTGCCATACAAACGTATCCATTGCCCTCAATGTAACATTCCTATTACGTTCTTCATTAGTTGAATATTTCATCTCAAAATTGTAAACGAAAATAAAAAATTTTAAAATAACTTAACTTACATTCAATCAATTAATAATTAATACCAAATAAATCTACAACAAAATTCAAAAATTAAAACAAAAATATAAAGTTAACTCGATAAGTTTTTTGGCACTTGTCAGCTATGTCGGCGCAAACATAACCAAATGAAACAATATACGATAAACGAACAAAACTGACCGGAATAAGTGCTCGAAAAGATTCACCAACTTCATTTGCGTATCCTAGAAAAAAACACATATAAGCACCAGGTATTGTGGAACCAAAGCAGTCTAGCGTTAAAAGGACTAAAGAAACAAACCTTATAAGATAAACAAACCAGACAAGACAAGATAATCTTGAACTACTATAATAAAACTAATGGAAAGGGTTATATGAAACATATGAAGGCACTGTGAATGGAAAAAAGACTGACATCCACATTGACTAAAAAAAACAACGAAAAACAACTAGTGGCTCAAAGTTTCAATATAGGAAAAAGAAAGTTGTTCTTTCAATAGAAAGTGGATCTAAATCCCATAAAATGCTTCGAAAGAAGAGGAAAGAACAGATGTGCACATAATTAGCTGGAAAAATGGAAATTGTTTTCCAACATCATTTTTGTACATTAGGCAAAAAGTCACAAATAAACTGGCTGAAATTAATCATCGAGGCTTACTGAAATAAAACCAGATAATATGCTCGAAGATGTAAATGGAATCCTCACAACAACTCCTAATCACAGCCACCGTAATTATGGAAATGCTGGGATAAAAAATTAATAATAATACTTGATTCCCCTGTAAAATAAGATCAGAATACCAGAGAATTAAACTAGAAAGGTGTGAAGATTAAAAAAAGAAATATAGAAATGTGTAAAAATTGAGAAGATCCGGATAATGAAAAAATATATGCGTTATACTCCATCAGAAGCCCTCGAGATTATTAAACATAAACTCACAACAATGGCCATTTTTTCTTCTTCTAATAGCTCTCACCATTACTGGTTAGGCTGACTCCAACGGCCACAAGGGTAAGACGCTTCCAAGCGGCGCGGTCTGATGATATCGTCGACAGTAATGGAAGTCATTCTTTTTTCCATCGTCTAAGTCCACATATTGCTGGTCCACCTCTACTTTCAAAATCTTTTCTCACCATATCAGTTCGAGTCTTTATTGGCCCACTTCGCTTTTGCCAATTATCGCACGGTTTAGCAAATAACGAAATATGCATCAACTCCTGTGGTGGACGATGTAGAATGTGCCCTAACCATCGAAGGCGGCGCCCTGTGATAACATTATTTATGCAAGTGGTATTTGAACGAAGGTGGATGCGATGTAGTGAGATTTTATCCACTCGGCGAACCCGTAATATGTACCTTAGACAAAAGTGGTCAAAGGCAGATAACTTCTTAATATCCTCCACTCTCATTGGCCATGTCTCAGAACCATATAATAAGATCGAACGGATCACGGCAATATAGATGCAGACTTTCGTTTTTATGGTGATTTCACGACGATTCCATAAAGATTTCGTCAACCGGAAGAATTGCCGTGATCCGAGTTGTAATATCATGTTTTGTCTGTTCATCTGGTATTAGAGTGGACCCAAGAGTGTCTGAAATCACTTCCTCACTTCCTCAACCGGCAATGAATTTACAAAAAGAGGCTTTTTATCAGCTTCTTGCACATAAGACGAAAAGACTTTTCGTTTTATTTACATTGATCCTGAGTACGATTCTTGTTGCAGTTTCTAACACGTTATTTAATACCACTTACATTTCGTTATAACTGTCAGTAAAAGGACTACATCATCAGCATATTCAAGATCTGTGATACGATGCTCTGGACTAATTTGGACTACTCTTGAGTGCCGACAAGTGATGTCCACTACCCAGTCTATCGTATAGTTGAATATTGTGGGGGAGGCTCGCAATTGCAAGGGTATGCTTCGGCAAACGTATCAGCTATATCAGGGGCAACAGATTGCGCTTCATGGTTTGGCCTCAAAGAATTCTTTCCATCTTACGAGACGATCCTTAATACTTTTGATCAGTACGCCATTATTATCTCTTTCATTGATCGTTCCCTGAGTTATGGTTATTGCTTTATGAAGAAAGCGGAATAGTTTCTTATTATCATCTAATCGAGTCGCCATCTCCACTCTCAAGGCTACGTTGCTCCAATAGTGATTTTGTCCCATTATGCTGCTTTCGTTGCAAATCTTCGAAGCATCCGGCAGTCAGGATCATTCGTGCTTTGGTAGCTTTTTCAGACAACTGGACAGTTGCTTCCGATACCTAACTAGCACACTTCCTACTAGTAAGTGGCTGATTTTCTGAGACATTCCTTTAGTTTGGACCAGTATTCATTTGCAATTTCACAAAAATCATTGATATTTGTATCATTGAGATGCTTCAATAATTAGATTTGAAATGCGCTCATTGTCCCCGAATTTTTTAGTTTTAGATAGTTGAAGGATCTTGAGGGATGCTGTTTTTTGCGAGTTGTCAATTTTATGCGGATGTTGGCTCGAACCATAATATGTTCAGATCCATGAAGACTACCCTTTTCAGCACAGCGATAGGAACGACTATCTAGTACGGAACTCTACCAATGGCGACTGATTAAGATATAATTAATCTGGTTGAAGTGTTGGTTGTTGAGATCACCGCAGTTGCATTATGACCTACACCAGTATTCCAGTCTCCTCCGATTATGATCATGTCATAATGTTTCGGTAGAGACGTTGTTAGCAGTTGAAGTTCTGCATAGAACTTATTTATCTCGATCATCTGCCGAAAGACTTGGAGCATGAAGCATATACTGTATTGTATTGTACTGCACTTTAATATTTTATTGAATAAATAAAAGGAAAAAAAAGAAGGGACTATTAAAAATCAAAAAAAGAAATATTTATCGAAGAAAATAACAAAAAAAATGACCTAGACACTAATGACCGAGATATTGCACAACTTACCCTTAAAACGCCCATAGGCCATACGGTCGTTTACCGGTTTCCACTCAATCAAAACGGAATGGGCTTTGTCAGACAATCGTTACGCCATTTCGTCCCGAGTTATCCGAAGCATCACAGTAATATAGCCAGTATTTCTGCTCCGAACCAGGATTAATAATTACTCGAGACCCAAAGTGAGGAAGACGGACCTCCAACAAGCAAGCAATATCCACACGATATTTAGACAGGATGTGGACAATGACTGCTTGGCTTGCAGCATCCATAAGCGTTCTGACGTTCCACGGTAATATGGCTAATACCTCGTCGCGCGTGCAGAGTGCCGTTCTCCTTGATAGGTTTCGAGTAATTACTCTGGCTTGCGAACGCATTTTATTTACCAGCTTTGGGATCGCTTTAAGCCCGGATTATATATTTATCGCATATACCACCGATCATGCAGATCGGGAGACGAGGACGCCGTATCGAGTGTAACTGACCCTTTCACCATAGAGTCACTTGGAAATAGAGCCACAAGTGGGTCTCCAGCAATCACCCGGATTTTTGACACAATAGCAGGTTTGCTTCTGCCAAAACCAAACATAATTATTTTATATTGTTGTTTAATTATTATAGACTTTATATACATATATATATGTATATATATTTTTATATTTATATTTTTTTATGTCTTTTATTTTAAGAAAAAGAAAGGAGGCAAAAAAAGAAAAAAAACTTAGCTGAAAATTCGATGATTATAGAAAATTCTAGAAAATATTCCGAAAGAGGTATAAATCTATCATAAGAGGTATATATATATAAGAGGTAAGAGGTATATATCTATCATTTATCATTGAAGAAATTAGATGGATATCAATTTTTTTCAAAATAATTCATGCTATGAATAACAGTTGAGAATAATATTATAATTTTCATTAAACAAAAATAGCAAACAGTAAATTAATGATAAAAACTGGCCACAAGGTTAAGGAGATACAAAGAAAGAGAAACTTGAAGGGACTATCTAAAGTGTACTGCAGAGCAACAATATATTAACAACTGGGTCGCAAACTTCAAGAAATACTGG